CCCTTAACATTTCCAATTACTCTGTGTTCCCTACCACTCCAAGAGCTGACCTGACATTTGTCAGATAAAATGGATGAAAACGTGTTGCTAGCTGATTTGTCAGATATGCAGAAACTGACTGAAGCTACAGAAAAGTTAGCCCTGAAATATCCAGGGTCAAAATATCCCAGATCACTAGGATTTAATGGTGATCTCCAAGACACCAAGGGAGTGAGCTACTAGTTTTAGTCGGTACAACTGAGTCGTTTACTCCTGAGCCCAAAGCAACCTCCAATGAAGCCAGAACCAGCCAAACATGGGGAAATAAAATGACAAGTCCTGAAGTGTCCTGTTAGTGGTGCCTGTATGAAGAGACACTGACACCCAATACACGTGAACATCACATCTATAACCCAAAAAAGATTCTCAGAGCTAGTCTTCCCTGGGATTATTCAAGCACCAGGAAGGTCCATCCACTTCATAAACAGGCAGTTAGGTTTCATCAATCCAGCCATCAGCATGGAGAAACTTACATAGCTCCTGATGTTAATATAGAAGCATCCTTATTGGCTGCTGCCTCTCCATCCCCCACCAAGGTGACTGTGCATCAGTCTCAACAGACAGAGAAGCTAGAGTTTCCCACCTAACCTCTGACTGAAATTACACAACCTTTGACCCTTCAACAGATCCTATCCTTCAAGTGTTACTGCCAAGAGTAAGCTGCCAGGTGGATGAAGGCATAGGCTCTGTACAACTGAGAAAAAGACTGACTGCAAGAGGGAGTGGAGCTTCCCTTACAGTTCACGGTTAGAGGTTAAGCAACGCCATGTTAAATTGGCCCCAAACACGCAAGACCCTGGCATAGGCTTAAGATATAATCTACCAGACTGTGACCAGGCAGCACTGCCAAGGCTTAATCGAAGGTGTAGGACTGTAACTAATACTAACCATGTAAATATATTTTCGTGTGCATATATATGTATTTTATGTAAGTTTCATTAGGGTGAGTTAGATTTGATTTCCATTTTTCTGTATCTATCTCTTTTTTTTCCTTTTTTTTTGCATGCTAACCCATAAAGTATAAGTGTATACATGTGATATATAAAATCTTTGGGCCCGGCATGGCCAGGTAGTTAGAGCGCTCGACTCGCAATCAGAGGGTCGCGGGTTCGAATCCCAGTCCCACCAAACATGCTCGCCCTTTCAGCCGT